ACTGTATTTATGTATTTATGTCAAAGCATTTAATATATTCATTGCTATCGGGATGTTAAGAGCATTCCATGGAATATAACAACAAGTGTTTCTGAAGTGAATTACCTACCCCACCTTTAAAATATACAGAAAATAAGTATATTTCAACAAAATGCAGGACAGTTTTTGTTTTACTTAAGTTAAATATCTAAGCACTTATTCTACCACGTCTTCATGTGTGTGCAGGTGTAGTTGGTTAAACACGTTCAGGACGTAATAATTAGTTAAAGTAAAGCCTCAAAGCCTCACAAAAATGTTCCAAGTTCTTGTTAGTAAGTTATTAAGTTCATGTTAGTAGGTTTGACTGCTTGTTACTGTTATTAAATCAAGTCACTGACAGTCTGACTGTTACTGGCTCCCTGTACAAATGAATGCAGCACTCCCAAGTGGCAGCACTGACAACACACTACTGATCAAAGATATATTTTTAGATATATAAGATATAATCACATTCTAAAGTCTTATATGAACCACACTAAACTGAAGCCTACAATGAGTAAAGAAATGTGTAAATTGAATATAAGGTGTTAATGAGTGCACTTGGTAAATGTTGCAAAATTCGGAATAATTAAGTTTGGGGAGATGTGTTTCTCCCCCCCCCCCCCCCCCCCCCCCCCCCCCCCCCAGCAGCAGCTCCTGTGTGGCCCTGTTGCTCGGGGAGACGACTATACGCATTGTGAGGCTTTTTCCACGTCTACACTCTATACACACTTCTCACTAATGCTAATGACACCGTAAAACAATTAAGTAATAAAAGTGTATTAAGTTTGCTGAAAATGAGTGTTAGAGGCTGTTGAATTGGTGAAGCTGAGAAGAGGGGAAATAAATCTGTCTGAGTGGAGAAACTATGTGAAGCTAAAACATATAAAATGGAAATGTTCAACTTTATAGAAGACTTCTCTTAACTTGTTGTAATGTTATGGAAGGATGGAGACGTGGGCAGTTAAGGGTGAAAGATTGAAACTAGCACACATTTTACAGATTTCTTTTTTGCTTTGAGATCATAAAATGGTGGAAAGTTTGGAGATATTTTTGATATTATTAAGATAAAATATAGAAATGTTATAATATTATTGTGGAATATTACAGATACAGCCTATCAAATACAAATAGGTCAAACAGGCATGTGTGTGTATGCGGTTACAGGATAGAGACATTAAATAAACAGTGATCAGTTACATTTGCTAACATCATATACATAAGAATAAGCCAAATAAAAACTCACCAAAACCTGCTGTGTGTCACTTCTGTCTCATAAAGCTTCCATGGATTTTTGTTTTTCCTCAAGGTGTCCATACTCCCTCTTCAAACTCTTCAAAGCTCCAGATACTGCTCCATCTTTTCCCGTTGAATTTAAGATCAAACTGTAATCTCAATGATCTCCAGAGTCAGATCCTGCAGCTCCCAGAAGTCCTGAGGCCGGTCTGAGATCCTCTCCATGCTCCGGGTCGTCTAAACGCTCAGGGCCTTTGTTTCCATCCCTCCCTCTTGGCTTCTCAAGAAAACCTGATTTGCTCAAACAAAGCTTCTTGTTCTCCGGACAGGCGAGGAATGTCCAGATCCTCGGATCAATAAGCCATCCGTCACAAGAGGCTGACCGCTGCGAGAGGAGAGTCAACACATCGCTGGTGAGAAGACCGAGGGGAGAAGAGAGTTTCCAAAATAACTGGAAGAGTCCGCTGGGGTTAACCGAACCGCCAGACAAGCCCTCAGTGGATTAATCATTTAGAGAAGCAAAGTTAGTCAGTACCCAGGAGAGGTTATATTTGTAGCAAGGACAACGCTGTTCTAAAATTATAATGTCTTTGCACAGATCCTATAATCCACTATATGTTCTGTGAGAATATATTAAGAGTTAAGGGGACACACACCAGAAGAATAGGGTTAAATATTCTTCCATAGTTCTTAGCCTACATAAGGGCTTTCTTTTTTTGTAACGCAAGTTTTCTAAATATGTAAGTTTGAATATGCAAAGGGTGTTTTATGCTTCTGAATATTGGTGAACTTGCATACTTTTTCAAAACAAAACATCTGAACATTGGTTAAGGCACGGTTCAAAAGGTTTGTCTCATTTTGTTGACCTAATAAAGTAAATGCTTTTTACTGATCGAACACTCTGAAAGCCATTTAAAAAGTACATTTTCACCCTTTTTTAAGCAATATATTACTTATAAATCAGGCCAAGAATGATTTATGAACATAAACATGCAAATAAATCAGAACAAATTATAACTTTTGGTGAATTAAGAAATAAATCTGCAGATGCAAATAGTCAAATAAACACCTTATTGTGTACGTTTTGTGTATTATTTCCATAAGTCTGATAGAAAATATATCATAAAGGCAAAATAGACCAAACTCAAAATGAACCAGAGCATATTTGCCTGTAGTGTTTCATTAAAAGCAGTGATCAATGATTGTCTGTCATGTTGTTAGAGCCTCACAGACTTCTATAACTAATGTGTTTTATTTGTTGCCAGGCAACCCACTGCACTTCTTCTCCCCACTTCAATGAGCAGGAGCTGGAGTGGCCTCCCAGTAACTTTAATGAAGAGACCAAAGTCCCAGTGGAGTCTCAACTCTGCTGGGCAAGTCTATGTATCGGCTCTAATATTAGACCCACAGACACCTGCAGTAGGAGGTACTGTAACTGCCTCAAATAGCTATTTAATGTATCCGGTGTAAGAGGCAATGACCAGTAATGGATAGCAGACAAATAATGCCACAGTAATAAAAAAATTAATCTTTTTTCTTTTTTTGCCAAACACATGAAAAATATACAAATTGAGTATACATGTGATAGATTACAAAAAGAAGAATAACAAAAGGTGTACATTAGACTACACAACATAACTGGTTGACTGGGAACAAAGAGATAAGGGCCCTACTACAAAAGGTAGGTGAACAAAAGTTGATAGGAAAATAATTTTGAACACATCAGCATTCATTTAAATATGGTGATAGTAAGCTGAAATATATTTTTGTCATTTTCATTTCAAGATTGATAAAAGCAGAAGTCCAGCCACTATAATCACCAACATGTATTAAACGTAAAACATACACAAATCCCTGCATTTTTTCTATACTGCCAATTAGTAAATTTATCTGACAACGATTTTGATATGACATATTAAAAGAAAGGCAACAGCTGGCTTGAGAAGAACCAATGATATAAAGCAATTAAGGGTAATATTAGCTCATATTCCAGGAGACAATGCATCTGTGGATAGGTAGAAATACGTCACTGCTAATGCACTGCATTTCACAACTTTTAGTTTATAGATTGTTTTTGTTCCACTAAAACCCTTGCACTAGCGATAAGATAGTGTCAAGTCTGGTAAACGTCAAATACACGTGCTAGTACGTGTCACAGTATGGGCATAGATATGTCTCGTAATTATTTGTGTGAACATAAAAATAATTTGTGTGTAAATATGTGATTTGTAAATGTAAAACAACATCCACAAATGCATTTAAAAGATTTGCAAACTCACAAATACATTTGCAAGTGTAAAACGGATCTGCAAATACGCTAAATATGTTCACAAATAAAAAAAAGATCTGTGAATATCTCTTTAACATTTACACCTTTCGATCAGGCATTTGTGAATCCATTTTGTATTTGTGGACCAAAAATGCGCTTGCGGATCTCAAATCTCTGTTCGCGGATCGTCTTTTTACACACACGGAATTTTGAGACATATTTTCCGCCGGTCTCGGCTAAAATCTACTCGTGTCACTCGGTTATTTTCGGAAACCACGTGATGGCCCGCTGTTGACGACATTTCCGCATGATTTCAAAGTAAGAGCATGATGGTTTGTTTAATGCTCTGTTTTTGTATTATAATGAACAGCGGAACGTTAGATGCATTCTTCATCACCATCATCATCATGTTATAGTGATACAGTTAGTTTGTGTTATTGGTTCAATATAGCATATATCGAGCACTTTCGTTGATGTTGAAGTGCAGGCTATACGCCACTTTCGGGTCCCGGGGGAGCAGCTGGCAGCGAAGCAGCCCAGATAAAACTCTTTCTTCATTGTTTGTTGTGTATTCAGTCAAGCGGGTCGAAGTTACAAAGCACTTCACATCTTATTAATCGGCCTAATTGTACCTTACCAGTGCAGTAATAAAGTAATCTGTAGAAAAGCACCGTATTTAGGTCAGGGTTATGGTGATAAAGAATGCATCTAACGTTCCGCTGTTCATTATAATACAAAAACAGAGCATTAAACAAACCATCATGCTCTTACTTTGAAATCATGCAGAAATGTCGTCAACAGCAGGCCATCACGTGGTTTCCGAAAATAACCGAGTGACACGAGTAGATTTTAGCCGAGACCGGCGGAAAATATGTCTCTAAATTCCGTGTGTGTAAAAAGACGATCCGCGAACAGAGATTTGAGATCCGTGAACAGAGATTTGAGATCCGCAAGCGCATTTTTGGTCCACAAATACAAAATGGATTCACAAATGCCTGATCGAAAGGTGTAAATGTTAAAGAGATATTATTCACAGATCTTTTTTTTATTTGTGAACATATTTAGCGTATTTGCAGATCCGTTTTACACTTGCAAATGTATTTGTGAGTTTGCAAATCTTTTAAATGCATTTGTGGATGTTGTTTTACATTTACAAATCACATATTTACACACAAATTATTTTTATGTTCACACAAATAATTATGAGACATATCTATGCCCATACACAGCCACTAGATGGAGCCACATCCAACATATTTAAACACGCTGAGGCATCAAGAAATAGTGCTGGATTTCTTTGAGTGCAAATAACAATACCGAGTACACCAGACCCCCCTAAAAACAAACAGTATTTTCAGCCTCTGCAATTTATTTGATGTGCTCCTCAACTAGTAGGCTATGTTTTTAAAGTCCATAATATAGAACTTTGCAAAATGTAGATCCTTATTTATATAATCTGTTCATTTGAAAGCATGCAGATATATCTAGTAAACGTTCATTGTGTGTACGTGTTAGTGTGTGCCTTCTCCTCTCGGCTGCACGGGGGCAACAGCAGCTCTCCAGCCTCCCTCAGTCTCCCTCGGTTTAATTCCTCCCCCGTGATCCGCCCTTATTTCCCCTTGCTCTCAGATTTGGATATAAACTTCCTCCGCCCTGTCTGCTCAGTGATGGGGCTGTGAGGATGCACGGCAATCCTGAGACTTTTTCTTTTGTTTTCATTCAGATTTAGTCCTTTTTTTTTTATCAACCCGTCTGCAGCCATGTTGCGGGTTAAGGTGGAATCGGCGAAAGGTCTGCCTAAAAAGAAAGTGGGACACCCTGATCCAATCGTCTCTGTGATATTTAAAGGTAAGGCTCAATCTGAAAAGTGTTGACGTTTAATTTGTGTATGGAGACAACACTTGTAGATTAACATTTGGTCTTAAATAAGGATGTAAAGCGTGTAAAGTTTATAGTCGCTCAATTGATTCGACTTTATTCTAGTATGACGTCACTATGGGTTTTTATAGTTGGCTGTTATTTTATAATCCAGTATACATGCAAAAAAACGGATATACAGTAGTGTTATTTTAAGTTTCCCTTTAGTTGTATAATAGCTGGTGGTAAAATAAGCCTATTGCTATTTTAAGTTAAGGAATTAAGTGTCATTGTGGTCATTTGAATGCAGTATAATTAAAGATAAAACACACAAATTGAGCAAGTTGTATTGCATCACTAAAGATTTCCCCCAACATGTCACAGCATTTGTATCCACATAAAGCCCGGCCAAGGTTTGGACCCGCAGTACACATGACAGGACAAGGAATGCTTTGATATAGAGGATAGACATGTTAGAAAATGTTGGGAAATTGGCCTTCAGCTACTGAATGGCATTTCCTCCCTAATGAGGAAACTAAGTTCCTGACAATCAGCCCAATTGCTCTCAGCTGCTTTGTTTACACCCAGATCCTCTTCATCATCAGCCCCAGGTGTGGCAGATTTCCTCCTTCCCTTTAACTGCAGCGCACTGACACAAACAATTTACATAAAGCTTGCAAAGCTAACTCCATTTAGAGAAGGCAATAACTTAACTCAGGCCAACAAGTGGGTAAAATGATTTCTGATGTTCACCTATGTTTCCTTATCTTGAGAAATCATGAACCAATGATTGACCAATTTTTTTCAATATGTGTATTGTTTTCAGATGAGAAGCAGAAAACAAAATCGATTGACAGTGAGCTGAACCCTGTCTGGAACGAGGTAAATCTCTAAAACACACAAACAAACACACACTTGTTATCCATGCTTCACACCTTTACTTAGATTTTACAGCTTTGGCTATTAAGAAAAGCAGGAATAGTTGATATATTACAAGAAATCCCCTCAAATCCCCTTTTTAAATGCATCACATGGTAAAACACTGCGACAAGCTAAGGTCCTACTCTCAGAGATATAATTGTAATTCTTTAAATTAGATATCTAATGTTCTGTATCCCTCATCTTGTCTCACAGGTGCTTGAGTTTGATCTGAAGGGCGTTGCGTTGGACTATAGCGCCTACATAGATGTGATCGTGAAAGACTATGAAACTATTGGAAAAAATAAGTAAGTGTGACACAAACTGCTGAAACTTCCTGTTGGGTTTTGTGCAACCGATGGATCAAAGGGATGAAAGAGGAGGTGTGTGCCTCACCTTTATTGCACCTCAATGTAAACCTCTTCATGTCTGAACGAAGACTGAGGAATAATTCTGTCTGACAGGTTAGCTTACAGTAGCTTTTTCTCTGATTGATAATAATAATAATTAAGATTGTTCTTGTATAGCACTTTTCATACACAGGCAAAGTGCAATATGCACACAACAGAAGAACACATAATATAAGACATTCAATTCAAATGCAAAACATGTTAGCATACTTGCAGCATGTTAACATAATACATTTGATTGAATGGAATACAAGAAAGTTAAATAGGCACAGTGTTTTATCGATATCAGCTTTTTTATTAAGATAAAGCACAAGCATTAAGATGGCCTCTATCTGAAATACCTTTGCTTCAAAGTAAGTATTTGTACGTGACACATTTCCACCCCTGTGTTTAGGGAAGACATTATTATTAACACTGGCACAGTAACGCACAAGCAGAGTAAGTAATGTGTTTTCAGAGCCGCTCTGTGTTTGAGTTATGCTGGATCTCGCGGCCCCTCACACCCAGCCTGCCCTGCTGAGACTTGCTGGTTTGTGTGGGCTGACTGATCCTGATTGGGCAACAATGGATGGATGAATTGCTGTTTGTCTTCTGTGTGTCTTGGATTTGTGTGGTGCTGTGTCACGCTAGGACAGGGAAACTGTTACAGGAAAGAGTAATGTGGCATTAACTCACCAAACTATTGTGATGGTGGTGAAGTTGCAATTCATGCAGTAGGAGTGAACTGATTTAAAGGGGCCCTATGAGGCTCCGTTTCAGGTTCATATCAGTGTGTAGTGTCTCTACTGTGACATGTCTCCATGCTTTAATGTTCAAAAAGCTCTTTATTTTTCTCATACTGCCTGTGCTGCAGCACCTCTTTTCACCCTCTGTCTGAAACCAGAGCCCAGTCTGCTCTGATTGGTTAGCTGGCCGGTTCTGTTGTGATTGGTCAGCGGTTTAGAGATGTCCCGCCCCTTAGCCTATCACGTACAATGTGTTAGACAATAGAAGTGTTCCATAGTGATGTTACTAAAGAAAACGAAGGACTCCAATGGAAGTAAAACTCCAAAAGCACAACAGGGCCCCTTTAAACCTTACATTAGACCATTGCATCCAAATGTTTTAAATAGTAAGCTTTAATACAAGTGTTTAAGATAACTGAGCATACAAATGGTTAAATGAGACTTGGATTATACAGTAAGAGTTGTCTGAGAGTTTGTATAACGGGTGTTTTCAGATAGTTTTGCAGCCCAGTATTTTGTATTCATCATTCACTGTGGAGGAGGCATGAGTGTTCTTTAAAGAATTCAAAGTAACACCAGAGGAGTAATGGGTTTACAAAAAGGTTATTTTGTTGGTGTAGTATCTCTTTAAAACTGTGTGTCGAGACGTGCTGTAATGCAAAAAGTTTCCCCAACACAGTTCAAGGTTGTTATATCCAGAATCACGTATGGGACCAATCTAGACCAACCACAAAGAATGCTTCCTCGACAATTACTGCGATCAAAGTCGTATGAAAACAACACACATGAAAAGTATCTCGCTCTTATGATTGATGTCTTATGTAGTGTATTTCTTCTTCTCCTCTTCCTAAGCTTTACATAGTGTAAGTTCCTTCAGTGTCTGGGACAGCCTTCACTGAGGGGCGGAGCTTCTGTAATGTTCTTCTCCAGCACTCGAGTCCTTGTTAAACGGAGTAAAGTTTTCCACTGGGCTGGCTCCTCTGACACACTCCCTAAAGATCCACACAGTGCTAGCAGAGAAAGGACTTCCCTCTTTGTCAAATAGTTTTCCAGCTGGTGTTGTAGGTAATCCATGTTGTCATGGCTACAAAACGAAGAAGGGGGGGGGGGGGGGGGGGGCAAATCAGTTACTTCTTCTAATTCAATTTTAGAGGGAAATCAGATGATTAGAGGACAAAGTTCCCCCTGTAGCACAGTCCATTATAAGTTTGAGAATCACTTGTCAGTTTAAAAAAATGTTTTTGTCAGTTTCAAAATGTCTCTTTTCCTGACGTTCATATTCTTTAGATATGAAATTACAGTTTTTAGAGATTATTTGAGGAAGTAAAGCCATTTTATAGATGATAAATATACCATCAGGCAATTTAGTAAAACCTCTTCATGGGTCAAATGTGTGGGTAAAATGTAGCATTCAGCTGTTGCAGGTTTCTCTGCTTTAAATCATACTAATCTTAACATTACAATTATTTATTGGAGGAATGCACGGTAAAGGTTTGACGGGCGGCAGACTTTTAGAAGTCATTGCATGGTTAGCTTCGGTCAAAATAAAGTAAATGGCCTCTTAGATATTATCATTACCATCAAAGATGAGTTTTTCTGCACTGGTGCAATAAATAAAAAAGAAACTGGATTAAATCTTTACAGGATATGGTTGGGAAAATGCTGAGTATTGTTTCATTTCCCGTGTTAAAAAAACAGACAAGGGGGTCTCAAATATTTCTGGATTGTATAGCCTTGCAGTGCTGAAACCTCTTGATAAATATGACGACATAGCGATAAAAGGGAGCTGTTACTGCTCATGTTCACACCATTTGCTGCAAGGAATCTGGGTGTGACCCTAGATAACAACCTGTCCTTCACTGCAAACATCGCTGCTACAACCCGTTGCTGCAGATACACTCTTTACAACATCAGGAAGATACGTCCCCAGCTGACTCAGAAAGCGACTCAGGTTCTGGTCCAGGCTCTCGTCATCTCACGCCTAGACTACTGCAACTCCCTCCTGGCTGGTCTACCTGCATGTGCCATCCGACCTCTGCAGCTCATCCAGAATGCAGCGGCTCGTCTGGTCTTCAACCTTCCTAAATTCTCCCACACCACTCCGCTCCCTTCACTGGCTTCCGGTAACTGCTAGAATCCACTTCAAGACACTGGTACTTGCTTACCATGCTGCGAATGGATCTGGCCCTTCCTACATCCAGGACATGGTTAAACCGTACACCCCAGCGCGTGCACTACACTCTGCATCAGCCAAACGACTCGTTGCGCCCTCGCTGCGAGGGGGACCCAAGTTCCCATCGGCGAAAACACGTGGGTTTGCTGTCCTGGCTCCAAGATGGTGGAATGAGCTCCCCATTGACATCAGGACGGCAGATAGCTTGCACATCTTCCGGCGCAAACTGAAAACTCATCTCTTTCGACTCCACTTCGAGCGTTAGAACTATTAACGAAGCACTTTTATACTAATAAAGGACTGGCTTACCTAAAGCCAGTTGAGTAGCACTTGAAATGTTTGGCTCTATGAAACCTGATGTACTTATATGATTCTGTTTTCTTCAAGGTTGTGTCTTCCTGGTCGAATGTACTTATTGTAAGTCGCTTTGGACAAAAGCGTCAGCTAAATGCAATGTAATGTAATGTAATGTAATTTGCACAAACCTCAGTTAAGCTGTATCATCACTCGTCCATCCTAACAGATCGGTGTAAGAAAATGAATTACGACAGGGGAGGATGTTTACTTTATCAACTAAAACCCAGTCGAGGACACTTACTCTATGAAGCTGATTTTGTTTAAAATCTTTCCCCTTTCCTTCTCGGATAGTCTAACGTAGTTATTTGGTTTGATTAAGTGAGGATTCATGATGCCACGAAAAGTAGAAAGACTAAAAGTTGGAACTTTTTGTTAAAGGTCGGGTGGCATGGAGCACTGCTCTCTGTTTTTCCACTGCCTACAAGAGGCTGACAATGGGGAAAAACTGCATCTACTTCCAATAATAACTCCACACACATCATTTCTGTCTGTGGGGAATTGTGATAGTTGGACGCAGGATCTTTTTCAGCTGCAGTAGGATGTTCCTCTGTGACTCACCAGGGCTTGGTGAGAGTCACACTGTCTGTTTAGGTCAGTGTACTTTGTGTTTACAACAAACACAATGCGCAAAGTTATCAGTCTTGGCACATCTTAATGTGTTCACAATACATACGGTGCAGGGCGGTAATGATACCATAACTTTTGGAAGATTCTGGCAAGCATAGTTTTTGATACTCGGCTGAAAAGGAAGTAACAAAATGAAAATATCTGAGAAGGGACTCGTTATTAAGGTCACCTAAGCCAACTGTTTGCTAAGGAAAAACTCCAAGTGGATGAGTCATATCCTACCTGAAGCCACTCTTTGTTTAAAGGGGCCCTATTGTGCTCAGTTTCACGTTTCATAACTGTATTCTTTGCCTCTACTGTGACATGTCTAATGTTCAAAAAGCTCTTTTTTTTTTCTCATACTGCTGCAGCTCCTCTTTTCACCCTCTGTCTGAAACCAGAGCCCAGTCTGCTCTGATTGGATTGGGCTCTGTTGTGATGTCAACCGCGATGTCCCACGCTTTAGCCTACGATGTGTTGGAGTGCTTACCAATAGGTGTGAGTGTTACATAGTGACATCACTACTTCACAGAAGTAAACAAAGGACTACAATCGTGGTGGTTCAGGCAGGGCGGAGTGTGTTTTTACTTAGTTTTATTTGTTGTGATTTTTAGCCTTAGTAGGGCCTCTTTAAGGCTAAATCCTCCAAACAATATTCCTGATGATAACCATTGGAAAACTACACTGTTGTTCCCCCAGTGATAATCGAGGCTACATACCAGGTTTATACAGTCACTGACTCCCCCGGGATTCCCTGGCAGCCTCTTTCCTGTAGCCTTGACTACGAAGCAGGATTCGAGGTTAGCGAGGTGACTTCAGGGTTAACTCTGGTTTTCAGTCCGGAGCTGGTTCACTTCTTACCGGGGTAGATATCATTGTAATTTATGCTGAACTCCCACTCTGCTCCGGGGCATGTTGGAGATAAGAGATCAGCTCAGTGAAAGCACCGCCTGCTGACCAATCAGAGCTCTGTGTGCAGACTTTAAAGCTATCAAGTCATATTACAGGATAGAGGAAACCTATGTTAAACTGGCGTA